TAAGAACAATTAATATTGTTGTCTTGAATTTGAATCAAAATAAATTTGAAAATTCATATAAATAATAATCGCCATAACTTAATTGTAATTCGAATGTTTTTGTTTTTCAAAGAAACTGTTGAATCATGAACTTTTTTTGAATTGTATAAAATTTTAATAGATGCTAAGGTACTATTCTACTTATAGTACTAATATACTATACTCTTTTATAGTATAATATACGTATACTATATTTCCATTAAACTAGTAATTTAATTCTAGTTATCTCTGATACAGAAATCAAATTCAATCAAAAAATATGCGAGCATTTTTGAGAATTTTCTACATTATTGTTTAATATAATAAATAAAAACTAGTTTCTAAAAAAAAAAAAAACTAGTTTTAAATAATCAAATTCAGTTTTTACGAAAGTAGTTTGTAGAAACTAATAGTTTTACCTAGTATAGTAACTAGTTTTTCAGATTTCTGATTTTTACTGTAACGTAAAAACAAAACATTATCATTTAACAGTTTTAACCATTAATTCCTTAGATGTTTCCTTGTTCTGCACTCTCAGAATTTCTAATTAAAAATTATTCAAAGTATAACTTATTATTTAAAATTATATGCATCTAAATAAGTGCTGAGTTATTTATTCGGTAAATATTTGTCTAACTAAAATATCGTAAGTACTATTATCAATAACAAGAACATTACTTTTAATGGATTTACTCCTGGGGAAAGAATAAAAAATATCGGAGTCGTTGGACTAGTTTCTTCAAATGACTTTGCAAATTCCACGCTTCTACCTTCTACATACTTTGAACCAAGTTTTTCTTCAATAAATACCCTTAACAAAATAAATAATAATTAAATACCCTTAACAAAATAATTAATAGTTAATTAGCTTCGAATACAATTAATTAAACAATTTAGATTTGATAAACAAACATCAGAGTATTATCATATGAATTGAAAAAAATAAATTGAAATACATACGACATAGCATAAGTCATTCGGTCTGGTCGTAATGCCCTCATCATCATGAGTCTTTGTAACGAAACTTTATTTTTCCATTCTTGAGGGAACTTTTCGCGTTCTGGACAATCCGACTCAACAAATTTTTTCCATCTTTTTGATGATGTTTCGATATCACGGTCTAAATTTCTAAAAACAAAATATATATTTTCAATTTTAATAATTTTAGAAATTATTTCATTTCTTAATTTTTATATAATTGTTGTTTGATGTAATTGGATATTTTTAAAATACCTGAATTCGTCTTTTGTCGACAAACTTCTAACGCCTGACCAACTTGAATTGGACAAAAATTCTACTGGACTACTAATATGCTGAGCTGTTGGGAATCTCAAAAAGAAATCTAATTCTTGTGGAGCTATTTCTTCACTCATTAATAATATCTGTAATATATTTTTATTTAAATTAAATAACTATTCCATCGTAACAATATGGATATAAAAATAAATTGAGAACCATTATTGATATCCCGAATTATTGATACAATTGTTAYTTTTGTTATTAATACTAAATTATAAAATTTTTATACCTTAACATAAAAGAACAAATAATATTTTGTAATGCTATYACAAATAAAAAATACTAGAAATCAAAAACTATAAAAGCGATTTTAATGAATAGTGACTCAATAATAAATTAGATAAAAATGATAAACAGTATGATGCATTCATTTTTTTTTTTAATATAAACATATATAGAATGCATATTTATATATAATAGTACTAAAACTATAATTTAATTAATGATGATAAAAGAAACCTGGGAAGTCACCAGTCACCCCGCTATTATAGTAAGCTTACGAGATACGCGATAGAGGTTAACAACGAAAATACGAAATAAAAAATCCAGTAGAACTCGCAAGTTATAGATTTTGAGTATGTACCTCTTCATCTAGTAGATAACTGTAATTAATGGGTTTAACTTTAATTCAATGATAAATGTAAACAAATAATTTTAAAATTACTCTCAAACAAAATAAAAAACAAGAGAGAGACCTCAACAACCATGAATAGACAGGATCGTCATAGACATAAAAGATGCGAAAGAAGTAGACAATAAGATGACGTTCTGAAATCGTAAGAAATTAAGACCAGTGAAAATATTTGAATGAAGCTTCAAAAAGGYATCAGARGCCTATTAAACATTAAAAATTTTAGTTTTGAACCTCCAAAGTACCAACTAATTTTAATTTTTTACATCAGGAAACACTTTCAAAGTCGAAATATTTTCTCTTCAAAACGTGAAAACAGATAAATATCGTTTAAAAATTAGTACATTAATTTAAACGTGTAACTCAAAAAAAACTATAAACTTAAAACTGATTATAGTCGTTAAAGAAAAAAAAAACTTTTATGATATATTTAAGTATTGTATCTATTTTTATGCAAACAATTAGGTGTTTGATTTAATTTAATTTATTATCAACATAGGTATACCTACATATTAAAAAAATAGATTTTTTTTATTTTTCATTTATTATACTTCAAATTTTAAATATACCAACATATTATATGTTTTACAAGTTTTTTTAATACAATTAATACAGTTAAGAGTTTATTCATTAAATATGATATGTATTATAATATGAAGATAAATTTTTTATGAACTATACGCTCGAAGTATGGCCTGGACGTTAAGTGTGAATATAACGCTAATTAAAGTTTAAAAATTAATCTCGGTCTCTCGACCCCCGTATTTAGCCGATAATATTAGTAATGACTAGTGGCTTTAGGTACCTGATAAAATGTCTATATTGTATAAATATATGCGTCCCTATTAATATATATAATGCATATTTATGAATTATTATTTTCGCAATCTCGCTTACTTGGAATGTCATCTGTGACGCAAATATCAGTTTGTCGCATTCGAACAGCCCTCTAGAAGTGTACACGAAGACAAAGTAAGTTATACAGTCGATCAAGTTGTTCACTCTCAGCGACACGGTGTCTGCCGGTACTGATTTTTCAATGGCATTGTTAAACACTACGCTGAAAGCCTACAGTTTTCGACACGATATATTATAAAAATGTTACTTGAATGCGCATGATTGAATCGCTTTGTTTTCTTATGAGTATTTTTACCTTAAGCGAGAATTGATAGACCAGATTGATCGTATTCAGTTCGTTGAGTATGAAATACAACAGACTAGCCCTCGCAGCTGCCGGTCTATAATGTTCTCTGGCTTCGTCAATTTTTTCCGACGTGATTTTTGCCTCGGCCACTTTCTGTTGTATCTCTGCAGCAGTCCGTTTAGTCGTTTCCAAATTTTCAACCAATGCGGTGTCACTTAATATGTTGTCTTTAAAGTTAAAATATTATTTTCAAAATAAACAAGTTATACTCAGGATGATAGAAAAATATAGTAAATACAAATATTAGCCAATGATATTCTAATCAAGTAAAAGTGTATTATTTGTGGGTACGAATTCAATTGGTATCGTCCTCTCTTTTAAGAGAATCTAAACTGTTGGGCTTTTCTTAGAAAGAATTTTCAATGTTCCCCGTTCAACATTAATGACTATAGGCGATAATTGGTGTTAAATATTAAGATTAGTAATCTCTTTATTTGTTTAACTACCTATCTAGATAATGTATTAAGTGTGATTATATATAAAGTGGCACATGCAAGAGTCAGCATGAAATATTTGAAAATTAAAGTTGGTACGAACTGCAAAAATATTGTAATATTAGTTTTAACCAATGCGCCATGTGATGAGAGAAGTTAGAAAATAATATTTATTTATTAAATTCGGATACACTCAAACCTTCATGGCTTTATACAATAACGTTACTTACAATTATTTGATTTTGGGACTATCTAAAATTTATATTATGCATTTATAATAAAATATTTCTGATAATTTATAATAGTTTAACYTTTGTTCAAATCTGTTATTTTTTTTTTACTTAAGTATAATTTCAATATAAACTAAGAAATAACTAATAAGGACTTATATATTTTTCYGTTTTTCCCTACTTGCAATTTTTGTAATCAGTTACGTCATAAATAAGGAGTTAAATGATCCGGACATAGATACGCCTCTATCTATAATACCTAAAATGTACTTAATGTGAATTTAGTTTTCAGAAGATGAAGAAACGATATGTAATCTTTGAAAACTAATAAAATGTCTTTGGCAGTTTGGCATAGTATTATTGAAATATATTTAATAATCTACTCTATATAGTGCCTGACGTTCTAAATATGTATATAGAAGTGTATAACTATACAAGTMTATTATGACATTTCATAACTTAMTAATAAGTAATACCTAGCAACTATTTATAAAAATTAACTTTATATKGCATACCTCCTGCAGAGGACAAACGTGAGAGCAAATCGTCTTCTAATTTTTTCAACATGATTTTGAAATCATTTTGTTGCTTAGTCAATTCAGCCTAATAACAATATAAAAGTATAAATTAAATTATATTTGTGACTACAYTACTAATGTAGTAAAARTATAAATTRCCTTAAGTTGTTCCAAGTCAGGTCTTTCGGCTTTTACAACTTCAGCAAGTAACTGATCTTCTAAACCATCTCTCGTCACAGTAAAATTTATCAAAGTCGTTTGGGCTTGCATTTCGGGTTTATAATGTGGATTAGCTAGTTTTGTATGGAGTAAAAGCCGAAACTCTTGATTGTATTCAACTTCTTTATCTCCCATCTTAATGGCTCTATCCGAGATGAATTTGRAAGATTTAGTACATATTATTTAGTCAAATCATAAATGCCGTTACATACTAATGGCAACTAGGTACTTACTTTCCTTTTTTTATGAGATTACGACCTAACAAAGGGTCTAAAACTGGATCTAAATTTTCTTCAATATTTTCGAGCAAAACAATTCTCCCGGTTGTTATACTTTTTTCTAACTCTTCCATTGAACCTTTTTGTCCTAAGCGCAAGACAACTAAACTTTCTCCGTACTTTTGTTTGATCCATTTAACACCTTGTAACTAAAAAATAAATTACAAATTATATATGGTAAACAAATAAAACAAACAAAACATGATCACACAGCAGATCTCTTATATTGTGTTTTAAATTTAAATTTTAAATAGATAACTAACCTATGCAGATATGCCTAATTATTAGAAATATTTTTTAAATATTTATATTAATGTATTATGYCTATTGGTATTAAATATTTTAATAATTCGCCAATTCCTGATTACATACACAAATAGGTTAAATCAAACGTGTTTAATGCAGCAAAAAACGAATAATGAATATAAATTTATTACTGTTTATATTAAACTCATGATAGGTACTAATCCTTTAATCCTTTATATATATAATATAAAGGATGATATTTTTTTTTAGGAAGATCCGCCAATATTATATAGATACTAATAATATATTATAACGCATAGTAATAAAAAAGTACCAAAAACGAAAATAATTTCTAATAGATATTAAAATACAATACAATACATATTCATTAATTATTAACATACTACTTGAGTATAAGCATTGAACATAAATAGTAAAATGTGTARGTAATASAAATCAAATTGAATAATTTACTTGTGGATCAATCATTAACGGCCAACGATCAGAATTTGTTAATATGGTTGCATTTTCTGTTGACATACGATCACTGGGTAATCCTTCATTATTCCAAATTGCTACTTGAGTGTCATCAGTCAATAAAGTCAACGGATCTAACCCTTCGGTTATTGGTACAGCAGGCTGCAAACGTTTAATTTATTCGAATTAAACACTTATTGTAACTTTCGTGTGTTTTGTACTTTAATAACACGATAACATACGAAACKACTATTTAAAATTAGTTACATAAAATTGTTATCTATTATTCAATTAGTAATCTCAAAAGGAAGTTATTTTTATAGAATCACTTAAAATATATTAAATATCATATAAAGAAGGTAGTGTATAGTGTTTAAACTTTGTGTATACTATATTTTTTGTATAATTGTTATTAAAATACATTAATATGTTATTTTTATGATATTCAAGTATACATAACATTCAAAGACAACTTGAATAAAATTTGTTTAAATATTTTGAGAAATGGATATTTTATGAAAGACAAACTATACTTTAATTATGGTCATACCAGGTTTCAGTTAAATAATAATAATTACGAAAAACATAAAGTAACTAACAACAATAAAAAAGTGTTTATGTTTGTAAGACTTACAAACAGTTTTTAAGAATTTTCTGTCGTGAGAATTCGATTTGTAATATAAATTAAGCTGAACCAATTTAAATCAAAACTAATTAAATAAATATAATAATAAATATACCTACTTATTATAGAAAACAGCATTCACAGCAGCCTCAAAGGTTCACAATGACTTGAAAGGTTTCTATTCCGAACCACTATATATATGCGTAGTGCAAGAGTACAATTTATTAATGTCCAAAAGTCTACACAAGCTAAATTTTATAATTTTTAWTTGATTGATCGTGATATTTGATAAAGTGTTGTAATTTGTAAATCTAAACTACGTCTATGTGCCACATTTAAACAATATTGGTCTCGTACGCCAAATTATTGTTAATAAACGTTTTTGATTAGTTAAAATTCTTTAATTTCTTTAAATGTAACATATACATACATCTAAGGTTTTTACGAATGGCGTCCATATTTTGTGTAGCAGTTCTTGTCTATAATGTTTAGTAAAGCATCCGACATATGATATGAACGCTGTAATGAGCAGAACGTCTCCCGGCAAAGTGGTACTTTGTTGCATAAAACTTAAAAAAAAAAAATGTAATTCTGAAATTTTGAAGGGCAACAATAATATACCAAGCTACAGCTTCTGCCCAACGGACATTTTCCGACCCCAAGCCTCCAATCAGTCTGTTCGCTAATTCGATCGTCTTATTAGTCGCATCAGCTTCTTGTTGACAGTGTAATTTTTCGGATGTGGCCTGCTCAAAGTCAGCCGTCAATTTGGAAAGTTGTTCTTCTAAGGACTTTATAAAAAGTGCTCGTATTAAATCGGTTTTCATATTATTCTACACCGCTACAAAGTATTTCATATTTACAGCGACTTTTTTCTTTATAACAGCTAACTTGTCTTGGGCCTGAGCGAGTTCCATATTGGCTTGAGCTAAGGCTAATCGTTTTGGTTCCACGTCACAATATACTTCGTAAAACTTTATTATGTTTATTACCCAAGCACAGAGACCTGAAATTAAAATATACGTWCTATATTAGATATTGATTTATTTTCAAATGTTTATGTGGCAGCACGATTATATTGAAACTCACCAGCAGCTGCGGCTGACTTTGATCTTACAAATTCTGGCTCAAACTCTGGATCTTTTAAGTATGGTTTAATAGCTTTAGTTACTTCGGGATGAATGTTCTCTTTGTCATAGTTTATGAGTAAATCAAGGAAGCTGTCCACTTTAGCCATCATAATCTAAATCGAAATTAAAGAGCTTAGGTTAAATACTTAAATGGGTATCCATTTTTTTAATTTCCTAAATATAGGTACCTAATATTTAATTATTTAGACTCAACGATGTCTTTTCATATTAAAATGTCATTTGGGTATAATRTTATATACTACAGGTATATTATCAACCATAGACTAAAATTGTTGCTATAAATATGTGTTTCTTTTAATAATATATTGTATAAATTATAAATACATAAAGTTGATACTAAATCGTAAACATTTTAAAAATCAATAATATATTATACATGGTGAAGTGTAATCTTATTTAATCTTAACAGTTAACACTATTACTTTAGATACATTATTATACCAAAAAAAGTTAATTTTTAAATCAGTTGGATCTATTATTATGCATACAATATAATAATATAATATAGGTACAGTATACGTACTTTAGTAGCTTTCCAACTACGGTCTTTGGGTATTTTACCGTTTTGTGCCAGTAACACCATCACAGCAGCCGTTACATTTGTAACAACACCGGGAGGTGATCCAAATGATTTCAATTCTGTTAAATTTGACTTGTTCAATGTATTTAAAGCTTCCTAGAGGAAAAAAATACTATACTCGTACTTTTTCGATTCGATTTATCAATATTAACAAAAATAAAATAATAGGTTGTATATGCACAGTAATCTATAGGTACACCGCAAAAGTTAACGAGGCCCACACATTAATTACATTGAAAATGTTATTGTAAAAGGAAGGTAAAGTAACCATAACACGAATCACGGATAAGTTCTATTCGTACCTTCTAACAGTATTTTATAATAATACCTATCACTTATAGTCATAATGAATAGACGAGTTACACTTAAATTATATMATTGTATTTTTATATTTAATCAGTGTTATTAAATACATTTTTATTAATTCTAATGTTATATGTATTTAATTTTATAGAGCTAAAATTGGTTTTTTGTTTTACTTCCACAACATGATGTATTAACTGTTATAGTCTTATAGATGTAAATAATAAGTATTTTACTTATATTTAAACAATACAGTTTTAAATTTATAAATAGATTAACTATTGTTATAATAWTTTTTTTTAATGTAATGGGCAATTATTTAGTAATATATATAATATTAATAAAAATCCAATTATTTGGATACCAGAAATTGCAATCCTTACAAGCTTACATTGATAGGTAGGYACGTTATACAATATAACAAAGTATTATAATGTATTCTTTTTTGAAGAACCTTGTCATTAAGATAMAAATTATGTTTTTTTTTTWAAATATATGTTTTAAATACAAACTTGAGCAGCGAGCAGTGCTGGTTCAGCCTTTACGAGATCTTCTTCGCAATCCCGTTGTTTTTTCTTCACTTCTTCTGCTATTGAACCAACTTTTTTTTCCTCGTCATCGGCTGTATAAAAGTTGATTAAATGTTTTAAAATGTAAAAAATATTATTTTTAAAATATTAATTTTAAATTGTACCAAATGCTTTTTCTTTTGATACTTTTTCGGTTTCAATACCAACTATTTGAATGAGTTTGTCGGCTGCATCGTTTTTAATTTTTAATTCAACTTCTTGAATTGCTAATTTTTCTTTTAAATTATCCACCTAAAATAAAAAATATACAAAAAWACTCAAAGTATACACATAAATATATGTGTTACCACCAAAAAAAAATGGATATTTTCAATCCATATTCTTACTAGGCCATAGTTTTCAAAATGTAATAACTTGTTGTTTTTTGTGTATTTACAGATATTTTAATTATTATTCATATTATAACTAACACATAATTTTATTTTTGCATGAAAACTCTAAATATAATACAATATTAAATGCATACAATTTAAAACTAAACACAGAGACAATATAATATATACAAATTTAAAAAAAAAATTAATGTGGTCACAACAATTTGATGTATATTCAAACGGATAATACCTAATACAACCTATCCTTGACTGTTGACTGGTTTTTGTTATTAAGTTATTATACGACAAAAATAAATATTAAAATGTATTCTAATAAATATTGAATATAAAAAAAACTTAAACATTTCCCTGATGAATAAATTATCATTTTTATACTTAAATAAATTTTCTAAATATTGCAAAAATTGTGGTCTTTTTATAGACCTTTTCAATTTTTGAATACTTATGCAGTACAATAAGTTTTTTAAATCGATCCGCTTAGAATCTATAAAATTTAAAATATCTTTAGAAATGTACCATATACCTCTCAATGATGAGGTTGCACATGAAGGTGCGTACCTAACTACATTTAAAACCTACTGATAACAACTGGATGTATATAGTCTATGTATATAGTGTTACAGTGGACCAAGCTCCCGGACAGGTTATTATGTATTCAAATACGATTGTAAAAATCTTTTTTTATTTTAAGCAGTCTTGTGAATAATGCAAACTAACTTGATTCGCAGTACTTTTCAGTTTTTCCAACCCATTTTCAAGCCGATCAATTTTGCTTGCCAACTCAGCTGACTTTCGCCTTAGTAACTTGGAGTAAAGCGATATTTGTTCCAAAAACGATTTTGGCGTGGTGTAATTGTACCGGCGGTCGCTCTGTAAATATATTCGCGATATGATGTTGACCTGCGTGTGCGCGTAACCCATGAACTTGGCCACTGATTCTCTGAAGTTTTCCTAGAATTAGTACATACTTCACATATTGATCAATGGCAAAGGTCAATGAAGACGATTTTGGTTAAAAAGTAAAAAAGAGGTCATTTACGGGTAGCACTTCAAGCTCCGATAAAAACTGATTGGACACAGACATGAGCGCTTGTTGGGGCCACTCATGAAACCAATTAATGGACGTGCAGTTTACCAGTGCAGGAAATTTTCTGGAACGAACCCTTAACACCGATCCGACCGGTGAGAAGCACAGGACGACTTTTAACTGTCGTCTAACCCGATCGATGAAAAACTTCCAACAATTTTCACGCGTGTCCAACTGTCCCGCGCCCTTGACCTAATTGAGTATAATATTGTTAGGATTCATTCATTTTTTTAAAATATTTAARTTAACTATTTTGGAGTAATTTTTTAGTTAATAATATATTAACTCCAAAAATTGACTAAGTATAGTATAAACACTTTTCCTTTATTTTTGGCCAATCTAATTCGTCACGGAAGTAAAAATTTTCCTGTTCAATTTTATCATATAATTGAGAGAAACGGCCWAGTGYCCTAGTCTAGACACGATAATGCATTATCGATATCATCTTTTGCTATTTATATTTTACTTGAAATCGTAAAACACTGCATACTTACAATCTACTATTTTTATTTTGCTTTTTTTACAAATAATTATTTAATTATTATATTATAGTATAATATGAGTACTGAGTAGTATTGTGTTATACTATTATATATACTACATGGACTAGGAGGGCTCAGGTCTAACCTAAGCTTTGGGCCCCTCCCTAAATACGCCACTGATTTTATGCTGATATAATAATAATATTTTTATTATGTTTTGACTTTTTTATCATATTTTATGATTATATTCACTGTAAATATGTTTCATTTTTTATTACCTACTGTTTATYATATAATAGCTAATATAATTTTTCAGATGATTAGAAGGACTCAACTTGTTCAAAACATACATTGCAGGAAGTGTGGTTTTATGAATTTGTGTGCCTATTAAAATAAACTAAAGGCGATCTTTATAACATCTCATCATCATAATATTAAAATATTGTCTCAGCTTGAATAAGGCGTGTTATGATGAAACCTTCATACAGACTACAGAAAATATAAGTACTAGATTCGAACTTTACAATATTCTAGGGCTATCTATGATAGTAAAATATAATTTATATAAATATAAATTTAACCTGGAATACAGGTATTAGACACTAGCTTAAGTTACCAGAACGGAAAACACTATTTGGACTAGTTCAGATATTATTTTGATTTCATTAGTACCCAGTACTAATTTAAGTTGTATCTGAAATTTTCATCTATTTTATTTTAAACAATAATAGCTATCCAACGGCTAATGGGCAACGGTACATACTGGGCTTATTATCGATTACATGAAAGCTGAAATTTACATTATTTTATTTAATGATAAATCGTTTATAGGACACATAAAACTATAACAACTTTAAACTTTGACAACAATAATATTTTAATGATAATTTATATACTTCTACAGTTCTATAATACTATGATGATCGTGTAACAAATGAATAT